CAGAGTGAGACAGAGACAGAGAGACAGAGGTGGAGCCTGGGCTGTCTTATCAGCCCTCAGATGGAGAATCAACAGCCCCCAGGTCTGGAGGTGGCTGATGAGGAAGAGGAGGAACAGCTGAGCCCAGTGCCTGATGTGCGGGTGCTTGGAAGGCAGAGGAGAGGAGAGCAGGGGAAATCTATGGGCCGGTCCTTGGGACGGAAGAGCCACCACTGCTAGCGAAGGCCCACCCTAGCTCTGGAGATGAAAGGCGGGGGGCGGAGATGAATAGATGTGGCAGACAACTATTCATCTCCCGGCTGGACTTTGTTAGCTTGTGTTGAGAGAGAAAATTTTTGCCGGGGCTGCCGGCATTCCTAATAAAGGGAAGTTTTGAGTTCTCGTCAGAAGGTTTGTTGTGTTTGGGGAGCTGGGTCAGAACATTGTGTGCATGTATATATATATATGTGTATGTATGTATGTATATAGCATGAAAGAGCGCACAGAAGAGCAACAAAGATGATAAGTTTGGAGGTGAAACTGTAGGATGAATGCTCAAGGGAACCATCAAAGAGAAGGCTTAGGGGTGACAGGACTGTCTTCTTGTAGTCAAGGGGCTGTCATAGAGCAGGGGGAGATTTATTCTCCAAAGCACCTGAGGGCAGGACAAGAAGAAACAGGTAGAAAGAGATATAACCTAGAATGAAGGAGGAATTTCCTGACAGTGAGAACAATTAATAAATGGAACAGCTTGGCTCCCAACGTTGTGGGTGCTTCATCCCTGGAGGTTTTCAAGAAAAGATTGGACAGGATAGTATAAGAACTCCTGTCTTGAGCAGAAGGGTTGAATTAAAAGAACTCCAAGGTCCTTTCCTATCCTCTTTGATTCTATCATGCGAATGCTAGTGAGACCTAGCCAAGCACCTTCACGCCATACTTCTCTGCTTGGTAGAACTATTAAGACTTCCATTAGTTTTTATGACGGCCTTCTTCATTTTATATTGCTTCTTTATTATATACAGCATGCTTGTGAAGTTGTAAGTTACTCTAGGGCAACCCCTGTCAATTCATTTAAAGATGAATTGATTGAATGATTAAAATCCCTTCTCTCTCTCTCTCTTTTTTAAAAATCCTTAATGAGTTAAATAGTATAATCACAGAATACTGGAGCTAGAAGAGGCCATAAAGTCAAGGCCGAGAATCCAAATTAAAATGTTCCCAGCGGGTGGCAGTCACTTGAATACCCGCAGCGTAAGGGAGACCATCTCTGTGGAACTAGTTTCAATGATATATTTTAGAATATCAGAAGGATATTAGACAGGGCTTCAGAGGGGTCCTGTCATGCCCTTGGTAGAGTCAGACTCTGAGGGAGAGGAGGAACAGCTGACAGGGAGCGGAAGTGTGGCTCCGGAGGTTGTGGAGGAGGCTGGGGAAGGGCAAAGGCTGGCTAGGCAGACAGAGGAAGAACCAGGCCCATCCCCTCTTCATCCTAGGACACGCAGGGAGGAACGGAGAAGGAAACAACTTGGCTTATGAGAGAGGAAGTGGCCATGATCCCCCTCATTGGTTGCAGCTGGGGAGAATAGTATATAAGAGAGACGGTTAAAACGCAGTGTTGCCAGAAGCAAAGCGTGTTTTATTTTTGGTCTGAAGTTATCTTGGTTGGCATCCTTCCAACAGACTGTGCCTTCTTATCTCCTTGAATTTGGTAATTACTTATCCTGGCCCGTTGTGGAAATTCCCCTTCATTGTAGTTTGTTTGGGTTTTTTATTTTACCTTTATCTGCTCATTAAATTCGGACTGTATTGCTTTCTTTTGAAGACTATTTCTGAATTAGTTTTATCTCCAACTGAGAATTATTGAACAGTGGGACCAAGTTGGAGGCATTAAGGGACATATATTTACGTTTTGGATTTTGTTACGTTTGTGTTACACTCCAAGTCATCCTAAGTCCCACATTCTTCTATTGGAGTAAACAAGAGCAAGAGTTCACAAATAATTCCAACAGGAAAATAGGGACACTATAAAGTGAATTTGTGGTGTTCTGCTTAGGATTATTATATTTGGACAACTCATGGCCACAACTGAGACCAAAATTTATGTTGCTAAGTGAGGCATTTGTTAAGTGAGTTTCCCTGACCTTTCTTCCCACAGTCGTTAAGTGAATCATGGCCCATTTTGGATGCAGGGAAGTGCAGGGCGCGCACAGGGGCTCGGGGAGGCTGAAAAACGGGCCTCCCAGAAGTTTGGGAAGGCCAGAAATGGCCCCGTTTCTGGCTTCCAGAGAGCCTGCGGAGCCCAGGGAGGCTGTTTTCACCCTCCTGGAGGCTCAAGGAAAGCCTCCGGAGCCCGGGAAGCGCAAAAACGCCCCCACCCGGCGTGGTGCTGGAAGCCGACTGGGCCACGTCCACCATGGCCACACCCACCCAGCAACAGGGCAGAGAACCCATTGCTAAAAATGTTTTGAAGCCCACCCCGACCCCATCCCTAAACTGGGATTAGCTCGGACTCTTTTTCTTCCAATGGGAAGAGAAAACGAATGGGACACACTGTTGAAAAAGACTTATGAGGAGGGAGGGGGAGGAGGGGGAGGAGAATATGTAATTTATACTTTCCGCTTCATAGAAACCATCAGAGGAGATATTGTGAAGTTAGATTAAAAACGGAATCCATCCTGGATGGTCAAAGCAGATGTGTGGCCCAACTAAGGTACCCCCAGAACGATCTGGAAGCAACTCACACATCTGAAAGCAACCAAGGTAAGAAAGGCTGGGTTTCAACTCAGAGTTTTACAATGACCTTTGTAATTCCTCTTCTGGGTCTAAGATTTCATTAGGAGCCATCCCAAAATGATATATTAGTAGTGAGCAATCTTCCTACATCTTCCTGGTGAGAAATCCTTCTTCGACATCTTCCAGATGGACCTGAAGTCATTTGGAAGACTGTACGTGCCACCTTTGTATTTAAGGCGTAATTGAAAAGCATCCAGCAAAGGTCAACTTGGGCAAACAGGTAAGGTTCAGAACAGGATAACAACTCATCTTCCTTTTTGGCAGGAGACCAGATACTCAAGGTTTCTTTTTCCTTTTACCCCTGCCAAAGTCTGATTCACCTCAACTTAACAGCCATTATCAGATCACCTGTGCAACGTTATTTAAATTTTGTTTTTGTTTTTTAGTCCTACATTTTTCAGCCATAAGATTCATTGTAATGCTGAAAAGATGCCTTCTACGCCAACTTCAACTGTGGGTTTTTAAAATCTCTCTCTATAAAAGCGAAATACCACTCACGCATCATCACAAAATCTCCAGAACCGTAAAGCCTACAAACTTGAAATTTGGCACTCTTGGCTTCAAGGTGCTCGCTAAGAAAGGATTTTTCGAAATGACCATCAGAGCATTAGTATTTCCTATATTTTATTAACACGCTCTGATGCTAAGGAATTCTACTCCCCTTCCCCACCTCAAAAGAAATCTGTTCCAAATGCAAAACACAAGCAGAGGGGAAGAATTTCAGGTTCAGAGCACCAAGCAGCTTTAGTCCAGAACAGTTAAGCTAAGCCACGCCCAGTCTCCTTGCTGTCTCCTTCTTGCTCATACAGCAAATACTGTTTCTATTTCCAAACAGCCCTGAATTCTCTCACACACTGACAGGACGCTAGCCAGATGAATACCGATGGATGCTGGTCAGTAGAGGCACAATTTTTTCCCCTTATTTTCCTCCCACAAAACTAAGCCTGACCACATAGTTCCGTAGCAAAGCACAGGTATTGAGCTAGTTATAAATATTTTATGGTGTGCTGGTTGGCATGCTTTAGATTTCTGCAACTTCCAACTCCCACAATCCCCTCTCTATTCTTTCTCAGCAGAGACCTGTATCATGAACTATTCATCCAATCACTGCCTCTGAATTACAGTATAAATCTCCCTTTACTGTGAGACAATAAAGAGCAATTTTCTTACACTACAGGTCTATAGCTTCTTCTAGAGAGTTTATCTCAGGCCACAGGTACAGGTAGACCTCGAATTATGAATGTAATGGAGCCTGCCCATTCCATTCGTAACCCAAGGATTTGTGGGAGTGAATCTCGTAACTTGAACAAAATCACTCCCTCCTTTCGCCCACGCATTCGCTAATTGAATGTGAAGCTTGTTAAGTGCAATTAGGTATTTCGGGGTGAGGTGGGGGGCTACTGATGGAACAGGCCACCTGCCTAAGACCACCCAAGGCCTCCTGACCCCTGAAATACCTCATGCTCCCCACAATTGTTTCACCCCACCCACCCAACCTGCTGCGCAGGGTCACTTTTCTTGTGAAAATCTAGCAAGCAGCCTCCTCTCCAGCCTCTCAGCCATGTGGGCCCTCTGCAGTTCCGTTTGGGCTTCCATTGGCCTCCCCCGACCCATTGCAGGCCGAAATGGAGCTTCTGAGGGCTGGATCCATCCCCTGAAAGCTCCATTTTGGCCTGCAACATGCAGGGGAAGGCCCACGGAGAGCCGAATGGAGCATCCAAGGGCCAGATCCGGCCCCTGGAAGCTTCATTTTGGCCTGCAACAGATGGGGGGAGGCCTGTGGAGAGCTGAACAGAGAGTGTCAGCAGGCTGGATCCGCATCTCAGAAGCTCCATTTCACCCGGCAACCTGCCAGGTGAGGCCCACAAAGGCTCAGAAGGGTGCACGTGGCTGAGAGGCTGGAGAAGAGACAGCTTGCTAGATCTTCACAAGGTAAGTAACTTGGCACAGCAGGTTGTGGGGAGAACAATTATGGGGAGCAAACTTCCGAGTGGCAAATACGCACAAGGCCACAATTAGCTATTGGGGGCAAAACTCACCCTCCTGGTCCCACAAATCTAATGGAACAAGGATGAACATTTGGTACCCGAAGCTTTTGTCTGGAGGGATGACAGCCTGAGACTTCAAAATAGGGAAGCAAGAAATCGCGGTTTTGTTAGAATTTAATAAAATAATTATTTATTAAGAATTCACCCTTCAAACAAAGAAATAACGTTTTCCACCCTTACCTGGATCTGGTGGTTCGCAGGTACAGGAATAAAGTGTAATATCATTCACTTTAAAATGGGAATTAATGGGATAATAATCGGCGAGTTTGATCATCTTCTTGAAGGCATCATAGATGAAGATGAAGCTGATCAGAGAAGAGAAGCCTTCTTCTGTGAACCGGGTGAAGTACTGAACTAAGAAGCTAGCATCGGTAGCAACCAAGATCAAACACAGGAAGGCTGACCACAAGCCGATCCAGAGACGAAACTCCATATAATCAAAGCCATGGTCTCTGCAAAGGAAGAAATCAAGTGAGACTGAAAATAAAGACGATGAAAGAGGGGAAAATAGCACACAACTACTTAAATGGTAATACAGGTAGTGCTTGACTTGCAACCTTTCGTTTAGTGACTGTTTTATTTATTTATTTATTTATTTATTTGATTTGTCAATCGCTTACAAGATAATAGATATAAGAATAAACATGAGTAAGAATACAGGAAATAGGTATGAATAAATGGGGACAATTGGATAGGGATGGTAGGCACGATTGTGCACTTATGCACACTCCTTACAGACCTCGTAGGAATGGGTATTCTCTCCCATTCTCTCCTTCCTTCCTTCCTTCCTTCCCCTTCCCTGTTCTCCTTCCTTTCCCTTTCCTTCCTTCTTTTATTTTTTATTTGATTTACTTTATTTGTCAATCGCTTACAAGATAATAGGTATAAATATAAACATGAGTCAGAATACAGGAAATAGATACGAATAAATGGGGACAACAGGACAGGGAGGGTAGGCACGATGGTGCACTTATGCACGTCCCTTACAGACCTCTTAGGAATGGGGTGAGGTCTACAGTGGATAGTTTGAGGTTAAAGGAGTGGGGGTGTTAGAGGATGTGACAACAGAGTCAGGTAGTGCATTCCAGACATTGACCACTCTGTTGCTATTACTTTCTGCAATCAAGTTTAGAGCGGTTTACGCTGAGTTTGTATATGTTGTGTGCTCTTGTATTGTTGCGGTTGAAGCTGAAGTAGTCATTGACTGTCAGAACATTGCAGCAGTTAATTTTGCTTAAGTCCAACCGTAGGCGGCGTAGTTCTATTGTTTTTCACACCACTGTTGCAGCGTGTCATCTGATCAAAATTCAGACGCTTTTCAAGAAGAGATTGGACTGCCATTTGTCAGAAATGGTGTAGGGTCTCCTGCTTGGGTGATGGCGGGGGGGATTGGACTAGATGTCCTACAAGCTCCCTTCCAACACTGTTAATCTGTTAAAAAAAACCTGGTTCATATTTATCCAAAAGGTGCTTTTTCAAGAGGCAACTGGACTCTTTATTTTCCTTGAAGATGTTTTGCTTCTCATTCAAGAAGCTTTTTGGAAGAGAAGCGAAGCATCTTCAAGGGGACCAAAAAACCGAAGGAAGTCTCCAGTTCCCTCTTGAAAAAGCACCTTTGGGACAACCATGACCTGGATGACTGAGCATCTCCATAGACATTTGGCTCATATTTATGACGGTTGCAGTGTCCCTGGGTCCTGTAATCACTTTTTGTGACCTTCTGACAAGCCAAGTCAATGGGGCAGCCAGATCCACTTGCTTAGCATTGGAAGTGTGAGGTTCAATGCGGTTGTAAGTCAAGCATTTATATATTTTGGGGAATAACTAGTCATTCCAGAATTGAGGTCCTTCAGAAGGGCAGGCTGGGAATCAAGGAACTGAGGACACTTCCAAGAATAGGTTGCTATACATTTTTCTATCAGAAATCGCCATGGTATTACCAGCCTCTCTTCCTTTCAGACTTACTTGCTAAAGTTAAATAAAAGCCGTTCGAAGACCAAAACAGGTCCAGTGCTGCTCAGAATAGTAAGTGGCTGGCCAGCAAATAGACAAAAAACAGCTCCTGTAACGGCTGTGCCCAGAAAGCTTTCCAACACACCCTAGATGCAAACAAAAAACAAACAAAAAACAAGCAAATACATCCATCCATTTCATTAAATTCATTCCCACGCCATTGTTTTAAATACACAGCATGTCCCACCAGAGACAATTCTGGACCCCACGAAGCAAACTTCTTTTCCCATTCCTGGAAAGCAGGGTTATATGAGGTTCTCTGTTGTGACACTGCCGTTTAGAGGATGAACAATAAATTAGTTTAAACAACAGGCTCTGCCTGGGCCTTAGCTCCTTCTTCTTCTTCTTCCTATTCCATTGGGATAAAAAATATAGAACTTCAGCATGCACTCACAGAGCCAGTTGTTAAACTGGTTGCAGCCGCCCGCTGGTAGGAACTCAATCCAAAACAAGCAAACACCCTATCTCCCTTAAAGATTGAATGGTACTTTCATTTCCTTTCTGAAAGCTGCTCTTTTTATTGTTTCCCCCCCTATTTTTATCCTTGTAGTTATTTTAGGCTTTCATGATTCATATTTATTGTGTTTATTCAGTAGCCTCTGGGGCGTTTACATCAAAACTCAGGACTCTGTAAATAAACAGATAAATCTAGCGCTTGGTTCAAGGCATTTAACGTATTCCCTGCTCAGAAAGAAGCCAGTTTTCCAGGAAGCGCTAAACCTTGATTGAAGCCATCCCCACAAGCCAAAACTACTTGTATCACTACTACCTAACATCCTTTCCATCCTCATGAGCCAAAACACTGGAGGAGCAATAATACTTTCTGTACCCCAAGTCCTTCTGAACCATTGCAGATCTGAACTTATTAGCACACGAAGAACGAAACACCAAGAAAGCTAACACTGCTTCTCAGATAGACATTCTTATTTGCAGAGATAAAAAATAACAATAAAATACAAAAAAAATACATCTCGGGATTTAGTGGGACTGTGTTGTCCCATTAAATATAAATAATAATGGGCAGTTTGTTCTGCAGGGAAGAGGCACTAGCGTGAACAGAGGATATCCAAGTAAGACAACAACAGTATTTCTTGATTGTGTATGCTATCAAGATGAGGTAGGCTGGTTGATTTTGTGGTGTGGAGACAATATCTTGGTCCTTAACACCAGTAAGACCAAGGAGCTGGTAGTGGACTATATAGAAGGAATAGATCAGACATCCAGCCAGAGGTGGTATTCAATAGGCTCTGACCAGTTCTGGGGAACCGGTAACGGAAATTTTGAGTAGTTCGGAGAACCGGCCAATCCCACCTCTGACTGGCCCCACCAACCCCATCTATTCCCTGCCTCCCATTGAGTCCCAGCTGATCGGCTGGGTCTTCTTTGGTTGCCCTGCACAGGAGAAGGGAGCTGGAAAGCAGGTGGGGAGGGAATGGGGATTTTGCAGTATCCTGCCACGCCCATCAAGCCACACCCACAGAACCAGTAGTAAAAAATGTTGAATCCCACCACTGCATCCAGCTCTTGTTTATCAATGGAGACTAAGTGGAGCAAGTGGCCAGTTTTAAGTTTCTGTGTTACCCTAAAAGAGGACCTGACCTGGGGTGCTCACATTGCAGCCCTGGTCAAAAGGGCCCAGCAGAGATTATACTACCTGAGACTTCTCAGGAAACAACAACTGGATGAAAAACTGCTGGTGACCTTCTACCGCTGCACCATAGAGAGTATTTTAACTTACTGCACCTCTGTATGGTTTGCCAATTGCACAGGGGCAGATAGGAAAGAACTCCAGAGGGTTAACATCATTGCCCTGAGGATCACGGGCTGCCCTCTCCCCTCTTTGGAAGAGTTTTATAATTCCTGCTGTCTTAAGAAAGTTCAAAACATTCTGAAAGATCTGTCTCATCCTGGGCACCCTTTTTTAAAAAAAACTATGGTAATACCGTCAGCCAGATGGTAACTATTACCATCTGGCAGACGGTACAGGATAATAAAAACAAGGACAAATAGGCTGAAAAACAGCTTCTATCCCACAACAGTAACTATATTGAATTCTACTGTATAGAGCAATATTAATGCAATATCAGGGGCTTTCAATTCAAGGATGGGTATTTGGGTTTTATTTTTATAGCTATAATGTACACTGTAGATGGCATTTAATTTCATTGTACAAGGTACAATGACAATAAAGTAAACTAAATAAAAACTAGCAGGGACTGTGTCTGATTTAGACTCCTATGTGAAAATATATTTTTGCACAATTCCCTTTGCATGTGTCTGTGGGACAAATCCAAGCTCTAACCATGTGGTGATTAAACAAGATAAAACTTCCATATCTATATTATTGGTTGGATCTCCGAGCTTAGCAACTTGGTTGCAAACATTTCGTCCCCATTCGAAGAGACCTCTTCAGAGCGCTTCGGATTTTGTACAATCCCAAAAAAATCTCCTCGAATGGGCACGAAACGTTTGCTACCAAATCACCAAGCTCGGAGCGCCAACCAACAACATAACAACCAACCTGAGCTATTAATATTCAAAGACATTTCAACTTCCAATCAACTAAAGGTCGCACAGCAATGATGTACATCAACCAGTACTGTACAATGATTAAAATCTACCTGAAATCTACAGGACTAGTGGAGGAGTCTCCAACCTTGGCAACTTTAAGCCTGGCGGACTTTAACTCCCAGAATTCCCCAGCCAGCAAGGACTTACGACCACTTTTCAACCTTTTGACTCTTCCTGCATCCCCCAAAATTCAGAGGGTTGGCAACCGATTCATATTTATGACGGTTGTAGTGTCCCGGGGGAATAACACAATCCCCTTTCGTGACCTTCTCACAAGCAAAGTCAATGGGAAAACCCAATTCACTTAACGACCGGGCTACTAACTTAACAACTGCAGGGAATCACAACTGTGACAAGAAAGGTCATAAGATGGGGCAAAATTTACGATTGTTTCACTTAGCAATAGAAGTTTTGGGCCCAATTATGGCCATAAGTTGAGGATTATCTGTATTGCAGGCAAACTCTACCCACAGCCTGGAGTTTGATCCTGATGGGGCTCAAGGTTGACTCAGCCTTCCTTCCTTCCTTCCTTCCTTCCTTCCTTCCTTCCTTCCTTCCTTCCTTCCTTCCTTCCTTCCTTTCCTTCCTTCCTTCCTTCCTTCCTTCCTTCCTTCCTTCCTTCCTTCCTTCCTTCCTTCTGAGGTGGGTATAATGAGAACCCAGACTGTTAGGGGCAATAGGCGGATTCTTAGAGAGAGCTGTAAAACACTATGAAGAGTGATATATATCTAAAATGCTATTGCTACACTTGCCTTCTTCAAATAGCACTCTTAATAAGCCTGGATTGCAACTTCTATTAGCCTCACTCAGTTTTGCCAATCGTGAGAACCAAATTACTTTGGTAGCTAGAAAATTCTTTTGGCTTTTATGCACCAGAATAGCCTGAGCAAAAACAATGGTCCATTTGTCTACACTGACCATCAGCAGTTCCTGCTGGTTTTGTGATGGGAGACTGAACCGGATTGCTCTCCCTGCAAAACATGTGCCTTAGCATTAAGATCATTTAAAATATAAAAGACAATTTGATAAGGCAGAAAGTTTGGGCATGTGGAGGACAGGATTTCCCGTCGCTCCAGTTGGGAATTCAAATCATACGCCTGTAGACCATTCCAACTAGGCATGATAGCAGCCTTCCAATATTTGGAGGGCTGCCACAAAGAAGTGGGTGGTCAACCTATTTTCCAAAGCACCAGCAGACAACACAAGAAACAATGAATGGAAAGTAATCAAGGAGAGAAGCAACCTGGAATTAAGGAGAAACTTCCTCACAGGGAGGACAATCAACCAGTGGAACAGCTTGCCACCAGAAGTTGTGGGTGCCAGTGACATCTTCATTGCCCAGGAGACACTTGAGGGGGCTCCTTTTGTGTCCCTGTTATTTTTTCCACACCAAGGTGGTACCTATTGGTCTGTTCGCATGGTGTGGCCTGTCGGCCGCCGGCCCCTCCAACAGCCGAATCAGAGGAGGAGGTGGCGGTGTGGGAGTCAAGGTCAGCATCAGAGTAACCTGAGAGCTCCGAGGGGGAAGAGGGAATGGAGCTGGCAGAGAGAGACAGGGAGACAGAGGCAGAGCCTGGGTTGTCAGTCAGCCCTGAGATAGAGAGTCAACAGCCCCTAGGTCTGGAGATGGTGGATGAGGAAGAGGAGGAACAGCTGGGTCTAGTCCCTGTTGTGCCGATGAGCAGAAGGCAGAAGAGAGGAGAGCAGTGGAAATCTATAGGCCGGTCCTTGGAAAGGAAGAGCCACCGCTGCTAGCAAAGCCCCACACTAGCTCTGGGGATAAAAGGCAGGGGAGGAAGATGAATAGGTGTGGCAGACAACTATTCATCTCCCGGCTGGACTTGTTAGCTTGCGGCAAGAGAGAAACGTTTTGCCGGGGCTGCTGGCGCTCCTATTAAAGGAATCTTTGAGTTAATTTCAGAGGGTTTGTTGTGTTGGGGAAACTGTTTTGTCACATTTGCATGCTTTCGAACTGCTTGGTTGGCTGGAGTTGGGACAAACTGATGGAAGCTCTTTCTGTCGTGTGGCTTGGACTCTCGGGTTTCGAACTTTCGAGCAATGAAACTATTCAATGGTCTTCTGACTCAGTTTCCTAACCACGTGAATCATGGCAGCCCCTTCAGGCCAAGGTGCGTTGCCCAATTCCATCCTGTTGCAATTGGCTTCTTCAAAACCGTGACTCACTTGCATGTTCTCTGTCGCATCTCCCAGCAGGCCTCCGAAAGTGATGGCGTTGGTTACCGTCGCCAGGTAAATGAAGAGGATAGCAGAGAGGGCTTGGATGTTGAAGGCATCATAGAAGTCGCTGGCAAAGAAAGGGGCCTTCCTCTTGATGTCTTTGATTAAACCCCCAAAAAATCTAAGAAGAAGAAGAAAAAGAGGAAGTATGTGATGACCCGGAGTGTACCACAAGCATAACAAAATCCAAAACGTAAATAAATGTCCCTTAATGCCTCCAACTTGGCCCCCACTGTTCAATAATTCTCAGTTGGAGATAACACTTACACAAAAATAGTCTTCAAAAGAAAGCAATACAGTCTGAACTTAATGAGCAGATAGAGGTGAAATAAAAAAACAAAACAAACTACAATGAAGGAATTTCCACAACGGACCAGGATAAGTAATTACCAACTTCAAGGAGATAACAAGGCACAGTCTTTTGGAAGGACGCCAACCAAGATAACTTCAGCCCAAATAACACATGCTTTGCTTCTAGCAACACTGTGTTTTAACCGTCTCTCTTATATACTATTCTCCCCATCTGCAACCAATGAGGGGGATCATGGCCGCTTCCTCTCTCATAAGCCAAGTTGTTTCCTCCTCCGTTCCTCCCTGCTTGTCCTAAGATGAAGAGGGGATGGGCCTGGTTCTTCCTCTGACTGCTCAGCCGGCCTCTGCCCCTCCCCAGCCTCCTCCCCAACCTCCGGAGCCACACCTCCATTCCCTGTTGGCTGTTCCTCCTCTCCCTCAGAGTCTGACTCTAACAAGGGCATGACAAAGTGTCACAGTGACATTAGTCCACATGGCGAAGGAGAGCTTGGAAACAGCATCCCAAAACATAATTCGAGGGCTGTTCTAATGGCTTCCCCCAAGAAGGATGCGAGTATAACACTATCTGAAGGAGGATTTTATTTTATTTTATTTTTAAAAATTGATCATTTACAGGTAGTCCTTGATTTATGATTGCATCTGAGCCTAGAATTACGATCGTATGGTATTACGGTCAGAAATCAAGGCGTCATGTCATCAGACCTGAGAGTTTTTTGGTAGCTTTTCGGCCACATTTGCTAAGCAAAGGCTGCAGTTTGCAAGTTAACACTATGCACATTAATTGAATTTGTTTTCCCCAATGGGAAATTTGTTTGGTTTTTTGCTGGAAACTGAACATAAATGCTGGATACCATCATAAGATGTCACAAAAATCAGGGTCATGTGATCACAGGATGTTGCAAATGGAGGTGAAAGTCAACCAGTTGCCAAATGCCCAAAATGCAATCACATAACTGGGGATGTATGTGTGCAGTTATTGTAACTCCCAAAACAAATTGTAAATAGTTCCAGGGAAGACTGTTGTAACTTCAAATGGTTGTTAAGCAACTGGTCGTAAGTCAAGGACTACCTGTGTAACACACGAGCGAAGATATATGAATTTTTGTCCCTTACTTGCCAGTTCGCTGCAATTCCTCACAATCCCCGTGTCCCCCTCCTCCATTTCCTCCCTCGTGAGGGGTATCTCCATTCATCTGGACATTCTCGCCACCTGCGTACAAGTTTTTCCTGGACGAATAGAAAGAGAACAGAACTGAATGTACACGTTTGATGCAAACATCGCACAGGTACACAGGCACACAAACACAATTACCCAGACATGTGCAGGGGGTGGGAATCAAAAATCCCAGCAACCAGTTCGCTGCCCAGTTGCTGGGTGGGCGTGGCCTACTGGAACTTCCGGGAGGGCCGTTTTTCACCTTCCCATGGGTCGAGAGGCTTCCCCCGGGCCTCTGAGAGGGTGAAAATGGCCTCCCCGGGTTCTGGAGGCCCTCCGGAAGCCAGAAACAGGCCTGTTTCTGGACTTCCGGAAGGCCCGTTTTTCCCCCTCCCAGAGCCTCCGTTGCAAACCCTGCACTTACCTCCATCGAAAATGGGCTGTATGGAGAATCTGGGAGGGGAGGAGTCGGGTGGGTGGGGCCAGCCGATCGGTTCAAATACCGGTTCAGCAAACCAGATGCAAATTTAACATCCGGTTCACTCAAACCAGTCCAAACCAGTAGAATCCCACTCCTGGACATGTATGCTTAGCTTTCTGTAATCTTCAGAAATTACATTTGGTCTTAACCGGGGTGGGATTCTACAGGTTTGCACCTATTCACCAGAACGGGGTGTTAATATTCTAAGCAGTTCGGAGAGCCGGTTGTTAGAAGAAATTACTGGACTAATCCTGTAAGGAAGGCAGGAAGGAAACGTTCTGGTGTCGCTTACAGAAACTGCCTCTCCGTTAACCCTTATTACATTCTTGGCAAGACTAGACTTCCTGTCTCAGGAACTTCTCTGGAGTTTTTTTCCCCTCCTTTGCTGGTACTTTGCTTGTGTGGAGTGACCATTCAAAATTACAATGGCACTGAAAGAAGTGACTTATGACCCTTTTTCACACTTATGACTGTTGCAGCATCCCCACAGTCATGAGAGGCCAAGCGAGGAGATGCGTGCCTCGATGTGAGTGATGTTGAGTTGGCCACACCCAGCCAGTCACATGACCACCAAGCCATGCCCACCAACTAAGCCACACCCACAGAACCAGTTGTTAAAAAATTTGAATCCCACCCCTGATTAGTACTACCGCCTACATTCACTGCATGAGATGGGCAGCTATGCAAATACGATTAACAATGTGAACTAACCTGTCCTGTGTAGAACACTGGGCTCAAGCAATGATACATTTTAGTCATATTATTTTTTAAATGATCTAATTATGTTTAGCCCTCTCTGGCTGTTAATTCCCCTAACATTTGCCTTTTGATAAATGGTTTGTGAAAGAATAAAAATACTATTTTAAAAAAAATTGCCCTTTTTTTTTTGCACTGATGATGTTACCTAGCTAGGTCGTGAAATGTCTGCAAGAAAACAATCAAACTCAGAGAGCACAAAGGATGCCTGAAAGTTGCCTTTTCCTTAATGTTTGGTTCACAGATTTTTTTTTAAAGAACTGAGATTTTGTAAATTGTATTACATGGTACAGAAATACTTTTAATATTTAAAAAAAGGATACCACAAGCAGAAAGTCCACCTCTGGAAAAAGGCGGTGTTCTTAATCTTTTATCTCCAACAATAATTGGAATGTGCATTTTTGCATATCTAAACTTTTATCAAATATAAGCAAAATTCATGCCACAAAAGTTGTGGTGACAACGGCATTGCTGTAAAGCAATTTCTTTTTTCATTTTGCAGATGACTGGAAGGTAAAAGAATCCATAGATTTTATATGAGATGGAAGTTGTTTTGTGACTCAGAGAGGTGGGGGCTGGTATAAAAAAACCCCCAACAATGCTAAAATCCACACCTTCCATCTGGCATTGCTGATCCTATGGAGAAGTAACTTTGGGAGAGTTCAGGAATAAAACACTCTGCTCTTAAGGATGTTGCCATTTTTTTGAGTCAGTCACTTACCTTTCCTCAATGCTGTTTTTCCTATTATTATTATTATTTTTTCCTTCACTTTTCCCAAGAAGGAAAGATTTGGGCATAAGACCTGATTTTTTTTCTAGAGCCATTACATTTACCACTTTTTAAAAGTCAATGTCAGCTTCCATCCTCAAGATCAAGATTGTTAAGGAATCTGAAACGCACATCCTGGAGAAGACAGTATCGTCTTCTTCAGACAACCATTCACGTAACACATATTTAGGTCTACTGTTTATCCAACCACCAGATTATTAATGAACAAGTTCTCTCGTTCTCTTCCTCTTCCTCTCTCTCTCCCTCTTTCTCTCCCCCTCTCTCTTCTTCTCCTTCTGTCTCCCCCTCCTCCTCCTCCTCCTCCTCCTCCTCCTCCTCCTCCTCCTCTTCTTCTTCTTCTTCTTCTTCTTCCTTCTTCTTCTTCTTCTTCTCTTTCTCTCCCCTCTCTCTCTTTCCCTCTCTGTCTCCCTCTCTCCACTCTCTCTTCCTCCTCCTCTTCCTCCTCCTCCTCCTCCTCTCTCTTTCTCTCTTCTTCTCTCTCCCCTCTCCCCCCTCCCTCTCTCTTTTTTTCTCTCTCTCTCTCTCTCTCTCTCACTCAATTACCTTTTGTCAGAAGACGGAAGAGACTTGGGAGGCTCTATCCTTATGGCGGGATCCCACTCCCCAGGAGGAAGCACAATTACTTCATCCAGAAATTCATCAATCCCAGCGATCAGGTCCTGCCTGTCTTTGGCTTTGTAGGCTATGTCGTGAAATACCTATAAAGGGATGAATGAATGAAGAGATCAGATGCAGGAGAAAAAAAGGCCATCTAGATATTTTTTGCAGAGATTTATACCATTATATTCATCCTATTTAAGTAACACCCATCTATATGTCCAAATGAAGCCTTCATTATCTGTAAAGAATTATTTGAGCTGGAAGGGACCTTGGAGGTCATCTAGTCCAGCCCCTTGCTCAAGCAGGAGACCCTATACTATTTCAGATAAGGGGCTGTCCAGTCACTTCTTAAAAACCTCCAGTGATGGAACACCCACGATTTTTGAAGGAAAGCATTAAAAGTTTAACACACCGTGGTCTCGGGGAGACTACACACATATTGGCACACAGGAAAATTACCTCATCCGACATCAAAGTGGCAATGGAGCGACCAATTTCGTGGTAGGATTTTGCTTTGCCTTTTGGGCCCAGCAAAATGAACAGGAACCTGAACCCCAGGAAGAAAAGCAGTGTTATTATCATGTGGAAATCCACACACATCGTTTATTAAGATTGTTTACTCAAACGAAAAGCAAATACAAAGGAGAAAAAATAGCAAAAAAAGAGGGAATGGTTAGATAAGAGAAGGCATAGCCTCCAGCCACATAATGGATGGAGAATAGAGGCTCAGAAGGGGCTGTCCTGAAATACTCAGACTGTAAAGAAGACAGAGTAAGATATGTACTTTCGGACTTGCAAGATTCTGTTAATATAACCTTGCAATGAATGGAATTATCTCATCTGGCTGGGTTTCCTGTCTGAGCTACCTGTGAAGACTGACAGTTTGGTGATGGGAAATAATTTCAAAGAGAAGCAATAGTCTCACAGTTTTTTTGCACCAGTGAGGAATACCTATAAATTAGCCCATACGACCATCCAAGACAAAATAACTGAGCTGGAAGGGACCTTGGAGGTCTTCTAGTCTAACCCTGTACCCGTGATGGTGAACCTCTGGCACACGTGCCACAGGTGGCACGCAAAGCCATTTGTGCCGGCACGTGAGCCGCAGGCAAACTTACCTCACTGAGCATGCGCACGCCTTCCGGGAATTTTCTGCCTGTTTGAGGCCTTTTTCAGCCTCCCGGAGGCTTGAGAACAGCTTCTGCAGCCTTTGTAGGCCGAAAAATAGGCCCGTTTTCGTCACTTCCGAACAGGCCTATTTTTTGGCCTGCAAAGGCTGCAGGAGCTGTCCTCAAGCCTCCGGGAGGCCGAAAAAGGCCTCAAACGGGCCAAAAATCAGCTGGGAGGTGCAGTGCAGGTAAAGGGGCAGCGGGGGGATTGCGTGCGCATGCGCAGGGGGGCATGGAGGATTGCGCATTGCCTTCTGGGTGCTACAAGCCCAAAAAGGTTAGCCACCACTGCCCTATACCATTTTAGACAAATGGTTATCCAATCTCTTCTTAAAAACTTCCAGTGTTAGAGCATTTACAACTTCTGAAGGCAAGCCGTTCCACTGACTGTTCTCAAGGTCAGGAAATTTCTCCTTAGTTCTAGGTTGCTTCTCTCCTTGATTAATTTCCAACCATTACTTCTTCTCCTGCCTTCAGGGGCTTTGGAGAATAGGTTGAGCCCTTCTTCTTTGTGGCAGCCCCTTAAATATTGGAATAGTGCCATCATGTCACCTTTAATCCTTGTTTTCAACAAACTAGATGTACTCAGTTCCTACAATTGTTCTTCAAATGTTTTAGCCTCCAACCAGACATTCCAGCTAATGTGCAGCTGTCACATAAAGATTAATTCAATCTCTCCAGGTAGGGACATCACAAGTTAGCCCAGTGATACATACACTCATGGCCATAAGCTTTGCCAGAAGGTTTCTTTAGATTAAAACCAATGACTTCCTTCTCAAAAAAAACCCAAAAACAAATTCTCTCTCTTACCTTCTTCCTCATTTTGTTGCAACAACAAATTTCAGTGACATTGGCTGACAACTACTATGCAAATACGTGCTATGTGTGCAATTCTTGGAGAAATGAAAGCTTTCACTGTGATACTTTGCAGAAGCCAACGGCATAAATTATTTATTTTCAATCAGCTAATTAGAACTGCCATCTAAATAAATAAAGAGGTTCCGAAGAAAGCAAATGGCTATATTGCAACAAAGTAAATGCCATGGTTTTTTTTTAATGAGAGCAAACAGCAAACTCAACATGAGGGAAATTAACATTTTTACAGACAGCTACATTAAAATCAAAATTAATCTTCCTAGAACAGACATCCACACGTTACTGAGGCCATGCTGTCTGACACATCCATGGAGACTTTCTGGAAAATCTCTAAGCGACCATTTCAACAGCAATAAAAAAAAAAAGACGTTTTTCAGAAACTCTCTGTGGAAAATAATATTTTTTTGTGGCATGGCTTAATAAAACAATCATTTGATTGTAGGTTCATTTTTTACACTTTAAATGTTATTTTTTTCTTTAAAAAAATGCACAGCAACAGATAGAAAACGCTCATTTACCGAGTGGGTACGGGGACTTCTGTCAGAGCGCCAAGCATGACTGCTTGTTGTAACCGCACGAAGGCAATAAAAGGGTTTTCCAAAAAGTCGACTTCTCCAACCAGCACATTGGAGGCCTCAGCATCCCGAGGTAACTTCTTCATGAATTTGTTCTTCAGCTGAGTGAAAAAGAGAAAAACGGATGTTTTGAAGTGCTAATCCTCCTGTAGAATTTCCTTAGCATCAAACCAGAAAGCAACTTGCAGACAGCAATAGCACTTAGACATATAACGCTTTATAGTGCTTTACAGCCTTCTCTAAGCGGTTTACAGAGTCAGCCTATTGCCCACCAACAATCTGGGTCCTCATTTTACCCACCTCGGAAGGATGGAAGGCTGAGTCAACCTTGAGCCTGGTGGGATTTGAACTGCCAAATTGTAGACTGCTGGCTGCAGCAGAAGTAGCTTGCAGTACTGCACTCTAACCACTGCGCCACAGAGAGATGGTGTGGTTACCGTCCTCTTAATGCTTAAAAATAATTCTCGCTGAGAAGAAAAATTACCATACTTGGTGGGGATGCTGACCAAACATTTTGTCAGGAACTGAATGTTCAATAGTCCAAATATTGGGAGAGAGATTGAAACAATTTCTGTGAGTACTTGATAAAAAAGAATTCCATCCTTCACGCTAGCATGTGTTTTTAATGCATGCAATTGAATCTAAAACTGTATGATCAGAAATTGCACATGGGGAAAAATACACAAATGGCTGGAAAAGATGAGAGGAAAGCATGTAGATTTTAAACCTGAATTATTTCATTAGGTATCATACCAGGTAAACTAGAGAAGAAAAATATTTTAATATTGAATGTTTTGACACACACAAGGAATGTATTTGCGCAATCCTGGTAAAATGAAGGAACACCACGAGATGAAGAAATAATTTAAAAAATACTAGAGTGTGCAGAAGTGGACAGATTGACATTAAGAATTAAACAGAAAGAAGATAAGGAATATTAGCAAACATGGAATCTATTTTATCAATGGTTGGGGAAAGGGGGTGGAGATTAAGAATGTAGTATGTATTGTTAAGCAAACTAAATACCCAGACAACATGACGTTCATTAAACACTAAATATCTCTTAATAAAAATTTAAAACCCCAGCCCCTCACCCAACGTAAAAAAAGATATTGTATATGGAGAAAAAAACAGAATATGACAAAAACTTTCTGGAAATGTGTAATGTAAATAAAGATAAGCAGGAAGGGGAGATAGCAATAGCACTTAGACTTATATACCGCTTCACAGTGCTTTACAGCCCTCTTTAAGCAGTTTACAGAGTCAGCCTCTATTACCCCCAACAATCTGTGTCCTCATTTTACTCACCTCAGAAGGATGGAAGGCTAAGAGATAGCAAAAAACAGGGTACAAAGAGCCCAAAGGCTTATGGTTATAACCAGGGGTCTTCAAACTTGACAGCTTTCAGACTTGTGGACTTCAACTCCCAGAATTCCTCCTCCGGTTGTGTCAGCTCAAGAATTCTGGGAGTTGAAGTCCGCAAGTCTTAAACTTGCCAAGTTTGAAGATGCTTGGTTATAACAGATAGACTTTTGCCATATGGAGTAATAATCTACAAGGCCTAATTCCTGGCCAATACAGAGCACCACTCGCTACAGGGGCTGAAAATTTGGTTTCACCAATACAGGATTCCTAATGCAGTGGCACCTAGGTACTCAACTGCTCTGAAAGTCGCCAAATTTTGTACTTGATGCATTTTGATGTGAAAATTTTTGTCCTGGTACTCATCATTTGTTTAGTACTTGGTAAGCAAGCAGCGTTGGCTACCTCGTGTCTCGCTACTCTTGCTGGCCAAAACAAAGGGTTAGTCAGGTGGCACCTGTTTTTAGCATTCGTCATACCTCCCAGAACCAATTAACGATGAGTACCAGGGTACCACTGTATGAATCTTACCTGCAAACCAAGATAAATGGCACTCCCTGTTCAAAGTTATGAATTCCCTGTCTGAAAGTTATCAGCTAATCCTCGACATACAACCGTTACAAAGTGACAAGGCACTGGAAAAAGTTTCATGGACGTTCTTCACACTGACAACTTTTGGAGCATTCCCACGGTCCCATGATCAAAATTCAGATGCTGGGCAATTGGTTCATATTTGGGGAGGGTTGCAATGTCCAGGGGTCACGTGATCCACTTCTGTGACCTTCTGATAAGCAAAGTCGACGGGGAAGCCAGGTTCACTTAACAACCATGTCACTCACTTAGCAACTGTGGTGATCCCCTTAACAACTGCAGAAAGAAAAGTCATACAATGGGGCACACTTTAACAAGTAGGTGACTTGCTTAGTTAGGGCTCAGTTGTGATCCTAAGTCAGGGATCCCCAAACTTGGCAACTTTGAGACTTGTGGACTTCAACTCCCAGAATTCCTCAGCCAGCATAGCCAAGTTTGGAGACCTCTGTCATAAGTCAAGGACTGCCTGTATTCCTAACACTGCTTAAAATCCGAGAATGGATCAGGTTCCTAGACAGATCCAGCTCCTAGACAGAACTTGTCATATTTGCTCCAGTAGATAAAATGCTTTCCTAGATGTGTCCACCAGCATAAAATAAGACAGTTGGAAGGGGCCTTGGAGGTCTTCTAGTCCAACCCCCTGCCTAGGCAGGAAACCCTACACCACTTCAGACAAAGGGTTATCCAATCTCTTCTTAAAAACTTCTAGTGTTGGAGCATTTACAACTTCTGGAAGCAAGTAGTTCCACTGATGAATTGTTCTAACTGTCAGGGAATTTCTCCTTAGTTCTAGGTTGCTCCTCTCCTGGATTAGTTTCCACCCTTTGCTTCTTGTCCTGCCCTCCGGTGCTTGATTCCCTCATTTTTTGTGGCAGCCCCTGAGATATTGGAAGACTACATCAGCCAGCATCTCTACAGAAGAGAACTCAATACAGAGCAAAGAATGATGGAGAAATTGCTGTCAAAAATAGCTACAGCCACACAGAAGTCTTTCCTGCATGCCAGAGAGGCGGACCAGAGAAGGAACACAGTCTCTCTGCTTGCACATTTTCCACATGAACTGCAGGCAACAGTCACACCAATTGTCAATCACGAGGGCCATCTGGAAGAGACAAGTGAAATACAATTCTACCGATCCCTGATACATTATTGATGGAAACTGTATAATAAATGATCTGACCTGATCTGGTAAATTGGATGCAGAGGCTTATAGAGTAGAGGATGGCGACCAACAAGAAGTTCCACTTACTTGATTGAAAAATAAGTACAGATGAGAAAGAATATAGCTGTGATTATTCATCCTGTCCCCAACCGGCCAATATTCACGGAAATGCCTATTATAAAATTGTAGTGAAAGAGTCATAATCTTTCATTATAATTTTATTGCAACGAACGATGATTAGGGGGCTGGAGGCTGAAACATAGGAAGAACGGTTGCAGGAACTGGGTATGTCTAGTCTAATAAAAAGAAGGACTAAGGGAGACATGATAGCGGTCTGCCAATATCTCAGGGGCTGCCACAAAGAAGAGAGGGTCAACCTCTTCTCCATGGCACCACAAGACAAGAAGCAATGGATGGAAACTAATCAAGGAGAGAAGCAACCTAGAACTAAGGAGGAATTTCCTAACAATGAGAACAATTAACCAGTTGAATGACTTGCCTTCAGAAGCTGTGGGTGCTCCAACTCTAGAAGTTTTTGAGAAGAGATTTGGACAAGCATTTGTCTGAAATGGTATAGGATTTCCTGCCTCAACAGGGGGTTGGACTAGAAGACCTCCGAGGTCCCTTCCAACTCTGTTATTCTGAGCCAAGAGACAGATATTTGAGGCTATTGTTTCCCCCAATTTCTCATGCTGTGCCTTTCCCTCCAAAAAATTAATCCATGCCGTATCATATGCCTCCAAAATAATATTGTAACTAATGTTAGTCTTCTTTGACTAATGTCATGTCCAGCAGGAATCAAAATGCTGACTCCTTTAGAAGAAGCAGGGATTATGAAATTGTCACTTTGCAAATGGATTACAGGAAGTCCTCAATTTACAACAGTTCACTCAGTGACCGTTCAAAGTTACAACGGCATGGAAAAAAGTGACTTATGACTGTTTTTCACACTTACAACCATTGCAACATCCCCACAGTCATGTGATTTACATTCAAATGCTTGCAAACTGGGTCCTATTTATGACGGTTGCAGTGTCCCAGGAGTCAGCATTCCAGCAACCCTCCATTCCGCCCAATAACTCCGAGACAGACCTCTTCTCAAAGGTTCCTTTTATTTTGGATAGTAATTGGCACAACTGTGAAATCCTGAATCTGAAAGTTCCAGGCTTCCTTATAATAACTAAAAACTACAAAATCCATCCCCTGCACCCATCATCACATCACATGCCCCAATCACCATCCATCCCAAGTTAAGACTTCCTCTCACTTATGTGCAACACAACCTGACCTTGAATCAGAAAAAGAATGTTATTGTGTCGAACTAGATCTACTCCAATAAATTCCCCCCTCCCACTTTCCCAGGCTCAGATGTGGCAGCGTGGGAGCAGCATCTGATCTCAATACGGCTTCCAAAGCTGACACCGAGGCTCACGTGATCCCCTTTTGTGACCTTCTGACAAGCAAAGACAACGGGGGGGAAGCCACTGAGGTTCACTTAACAACTAATTTAACCACTTCGGCGATTCGCTTAACAAATATGGAAAGGAAAGCGGTCAGGAAAGCAGGGGTGAAGCTCCCTTAACGAATTTCTCGCTCAACAACATAAAAGTCTGGGCTTGACTGGGATTGTACGTTGAGGACTAGCCGTACCCTACTGCCTACAGGTGTGAGAAGAGCACCGTTGTGCAAAAGGTGTGCCCTTCTTGCTTCATCGCCGGGGGTGAATCCAGGACACGAGAGCAAACATGGGCACCAACGCTTGTTGCTGGCGAATGAAAGGTTAGACAATCGCCAATCGCTGATGAATGAAAGAAAAGAAAGGGGCTGAAAATAAGGCCTTACACAACTCACCCGAGGAATAAGCTTCCCACGCAGGAAGGCGCTGTCTACATTTTTATTCGGCGAAGCAAGAGGTATTCTTCCACCAAGGCAACCTCTTTATAAACTTCAGAATTGGTGCGGACAAAATGAGGAGGGGGCAGGGGA